CCGGGACCAGCACGCCTCCGCTCCGGAACTGCGTCCGGAGAACCGGGTCCCCCGCGGCTCTAGGAAGCTACTCTCTGTCTCTCACCTAGACCAGGACGCCGCCGGGTGCGAAACGGCTTTCCCAGTCTCCTGGGAGACCGTGCTGCGCGTCGGCGTGACGTCAGGGCGCGGTGGCGTCACGGCCCACGCCTCTCGCCAACGCGGAAGCCGGTCTCCCCCGCGCGCGGCGGAAGCGGGGAGCAGGCGGCGGGGTCCGAGCCAAGGGTTCACCGAACTCCGGGCGCTGAGAGGCGGGGGNNGAGCCGTAGTCGCCGCTGTGGGGCGCAGGGAGCCCTCCCGGCCCTGTGACCGGCGTTGGGGTCCTCAGCCCGCCCAAGGGCCCGTGTGGAGGACAGCGCCGTGGGCCCTGAGTGACCTTGAGCGGGAGGGGGAGAGATGCCCGGAGAGGTCAAGGGTGTAAAAGGGAAGCTGTGGTCTCAGCGACTGAGCGAACGGAGGACGTTCGTCAAGTTTTCATCCTAGTCCAGGAGTAGCCAAGAAGAAGCCTTTAGCTCTCGAGGTGTCGAGACCCCCGGGCCGCAGCGTGTTTATTTCTAGCAGACCGCCCACCTGCCCACGTGCGCGGCTTCGCTCCCTCCATTCCTGAGCGCGTGTGCGCTGGTAGTCCGCCGGCGGGAGCCTGCGCACCGGCGCGGGCGACGCTCGGCCAGCCGCCCGGGGGGCAGCCGCGGGTGTGCTTAGCGGGGCACTCGGTCACAGGCCGATCTCTCCGTTTTGAAGGCTATGTGAGGGACAAAAGGCAGCTCTTCCAAGAAAAAACACCTGCTGCTCGCTGACAGGGAAAGAGACTTGCTACTACTGAATGAAGTAAGGTTGAATACAAAGGAAATGAGTTCAAACGTAGATTTAGAGAAGTGGTCAAATGATGCAGAACATTGATGGAGCAGTCGTGAGACTGCTGATTGATGGCGGTTATTAATGAAAATGACAGCACCAAGTACTAAACCCTTCTAAAAGCCTTGTTCCTCAGAGCGCTGGAAGTCTTGTAAATAGATGTACCCTGGACACTTGAACCTGACCGGTGTTTTTTAGCCAGTGCCTACCAGCCACTTTGTTTATACCCCCTCAAAGAGAGCATCTTTTTTCATTTGTGAAAGAAGCTAATTAGAGGACCGAACAAAGGGTTCGGGGAGGCTGAGGAGAGCCAACGAAGTGGTCCAGTGCAGCATGCTTATTTATTCTGTGGTTTAATTTCATCTGTGCTTACTCATCTCCACATTGGCCTGGAGACCAATTTCCCTCCCACTGTAAATGTTCCTTAGGCCTGCACTGTCCAGTAAGATAGCCATGTGGGATTATTTAATTTAGTTAAAGTGAAGTAAAATAAAAATGTACTTTTTTTTCGCACTGGCCACATGTTAAGTGCTCAGTAATTACAAGTTGCTAAAGACAGCACACACATATATATAGACTATTTCATCAAAGTTCTGTTGAACAGTGGCAAATGCTGTAAGAATTTTAAGGATAGAGAGAGCTGATAAATTGTGAATAGCCTTTGTTGAAGAGTAGCAGTTAAAAGTGTTATTTCTGAAGAACACAGCACAGGTGAAAAGTTGTGACAGAGAGTTACAAAATCGATTTATAGAAAAAAGTAACCCAATATGCGTCTCCCCGGTGTTGGTGTGTATTTTTCTTGGCTCCGGGTTGGTGTCAGTTTGTCCGTCTGTCTGTCTAGGTTTCTTTCCCTGTCCTTTTTCCACTTCCTTTTTCTCAGCACGTTATTGGCCATACGGACTGAAGTAGAATTTAAAATATTCCCATCATTGGACATAATGAATAAAGTTTTGTTTTATCCTGTTCTTAAATTTTAAATCAGCAGTTTCACTTTTTACTATGACCTTTAAAAATAATCCAGTGATAACCAAGTTACATTCCTTTTAACCTCTCTGTGAACCTTTATTATTCTTTGTCCCCTGTATAGTTGAGTGACCCCTGAAAAAAATGCCCCCTAGTTTTGGGAACAGTCTCTGTAAAGTGACTAAACTAGAGCTTTTTACATGGTCTACAGACCTTTGTGTTGTTGTATTGACGTTATGAGAATACAGCGTCTGAACTTTTGTTTCTGTTATGAATTTACCTAAGATATTTATCCCGCAGGGCACTGTCATTCATCTCATTCATTTTGGTTAGTAGTATGCCCCCTCCTCTCCTCTCCCCCTTTCCTGATGAAAAGCATGTGGGAGAATAGGTACTTTGTTTGCAAGTCTGATAAAAATACTAGGAAGTCTACCCAAGATTGCTAATTTCAAAATGAGTTCAGAATTGTACAAAGGGAGCATAGTAAAACTATAGTTAGCTTAACTTTATTTTTATACTGTGAACCAGAACACAGTACCATGCTATCCCCTCAACAGTTTGAATAAAATGGTTGCAGACAGGCCTCCCAGGGTGGCAACCACAGCTTTCATTGCTATTTCTGGGTTCTATCCAATGCAAGTACAGCATTTTTAAACAGCTAACATTTATTGGGCTCTTTCTATCTGCCAGGTACTTCATACATGTCTTATTGAGAATACTCCCAAACATAACTCAGTCAGATCCTACTTACTTCTTACTTTCACCCAAAAGATGGAAGTGGCCAAGGACATGGTGCAGCCCATGAGCACTGAAGTGTACTTGGACTGAACGTGAGTGTAAGCAGAAGCACATGGGCTTCCTGTGCTTCTTGGACTCTGCCAGCTAGCCAGTATCCGCAGGGCATCAGCCTACTGTGGATTAGTAACATATGTACATACCCAAAATATATTTAATTCTGGAAACTTAACTTTGTTTTAGACTTATTTTCTTCATAACTTTTCGGACACAGCTTCCAGTTTTCAAAAAAGAGGTCAACTACAAGTGACCACTTGCTTTGTTGTACTTACCCCAACACATCCCCCCCCCCCACCACCAAGATATAGATTGGGTTTTCTTTCCTAATACTGTGGGATTTTTTTTAAAGCTGCTAATCAACATTTAAAGTTTTGGACTCCTTTATAAGGCTACTTTGTGTATTTTGAAATCCAAATAACTGGTCTGCATGGGCTTTGGTTACAAAATACTATTTGTAGGTTTGTGCTTTTTATATTTTTGAACCCATCATGTGCGCAGTGTAAACTTGAGTACCTAGTAAAATGAAGGTCACAATGTTTAAATAGCATTTATCTCTAGGAGTTCAAATGTTTTGTCATTTGTGTGGGAATAACTTGTGTACTGAAGTCTTTTTAGCCTAAGAATATGATGATTGAACAAAATTTCCAGTGAGACAAGTCAGGCCTTTAAGTCATAAACGTCTCCCAAATATTAAAAGTAAGTCAAGCACTACAGTGAAACCTTTTTTGATTACAAATGTATTCTCTTGTGGCCTCTTCACTACCTATTGGAACTTTACCTAAAATTGTACTATGAGCCAAATATAGTTTAGTATTTGTTACATGAATATATTTTATTTTTTATTGACCTCTAACATACTAGTTTCAGATGTACAATATGATTCAATATTTGTATATACTGTAAAATAATTACTATAATAGGTCTAGTTAACATCCATCACCACACAATTACAAATTTTTTTCTTATGATGAAAGCTTTTGAAGATCTACTCTCTTGGCCACTTTCAAATATACAATACAGTATTACTAACTATGGTCATTATGCTGTACTTTACATCCCCAGGACTTAACTATTTTCATGAATGTATTTAAAAACAAAATGAATAAAACTCTAATAGCACTGACTTAAAGCTCTTGTAATGAATTTGATGCTCAAAAACATGGCACTGATAGTTCTTTGAACTCTTAGCATCTAATATCTAACCTTAATAAATGTTAATGAATTGAAAGACTGAAAATTGTTCCCTTATGCCTTTTTTAAAAACTTTTTGTAGAATTTGCTAGTTTAATGAAGTTTTTGCTTAATCCTGAGATTTCCATAGGATTCTAATGAAACATCTAAGAGTCTAACTCACATTTGTTTTGATAAATGATTGGCAGAAGTGATTTCATTCTACCTTGATAAAGATGAAGTTTATGCTCTATACTTACAATTTTCAGTAGCTATGGAATTTATAGGAATCAAA